AGTTTAGATTTATCTTGCAGACAAGTCTGACTAAAAATTATGATAGTTTCAAAAAAATCAGTATTGCTTCTAAGAGTTTGTAAATGTGCAAAATAGCATTCTACTGTCTTGTCATGTTAAAATGTGTATAGATAAAATTATACTACAGAAAACTCACTTTTTAAGGAGCAAAACTGATTACAGGAAAACAAATATTTCCTAATTTTATGGGTCCATTTTAGTTTATTCTATACTGCTAGCTCTGATTTCTTGTTCCTGGAATCTCCAGACTTCACTGCTGGTAGTCCCCATCTCCAGGACTCAAAGCTTCCTAGGCTCTGGATCAATTTGGCCCTTTGATAAGGGAAATAGGAAGACCAATGTATTCCTAGAGCATCAGCTTATCTAAAAGTGAGGCAACTTCCTGCCTATTTAATTTTGACCCCAGTACCTTGTGCCAAATTTTACTTACTTCTTTTTGTGAACAACCACCTTTTGCTTATTTTCTCTAATTGGGTTCCTATTTTGTTCTAGCCTTGATATATGCATTCCCCAGTAATTTGTGCTCTATCTTCCATGTTGATCCTTTCAATTTTCTGTAAAATTTCACCCATAAAACATAGTCATAATATTTGTGTGACTGGGATGTGTTTCCAGATTCCAGGACAAGAATCACCATACTTAAATGTAATGGCGTGATGAAAAATGTTTAACACCTGACTTCAGAAAGATAAATAAAAGTCATCAATTTGTTGTATATTTTACCTTGGGTATTTTATATACAAATTTCTTGTCTGCTTGTTTGTCTGAATTTTGTTAATTCATTAATTATCTGCCACTTTCAGTGACTTGGTCTGATATCTAATTTCTTCTCATCTCAGTCATTTTGGGTCTGTGTTGCCCCCACCTCCATAAATGGAGGTGAAGGCTGGATGTGGACATGGATTTCTATTGTACCTAATAGTATATGCCAACTGGTATATTTAACACAATACATTACCTCATAAATGTAAAATAGTGTCAATTAAAATATGCTTTAAACAAATAGTTTATACAGATAAATTTAACCCTAGTTTAGTTGAAGTATGCTTAGGAATCATTTATTAGCCTTATCTTATGATGATATTTGTGTTCCAAATTTTGTTATACCAAATAAGAGGACTCTTTAAAAATTCTTTTTACTATTTCAAGTGTATGCCTTTTTACTATTTCTTTGTATATCAACTAGAATGACACAATATCTAACAATCTAATCATTTGTAAATTTAGGCTGATATTCTGAGTTTAACATGAGATGACCTATGAAAAATATTTAGGACTTAGAACATTGTAAAAACTCAGTAAATGTCAACTAATAGTAATGGTATTATAATTAGAAATATCTGAATGGATAATTTTGATTGTCTACTTTTTAAATGTGTTCATGTTATATTTTTATTGAATTATTAGTCACAAGGTTAGATGTGCATACTGACTTACATTTAATACACTGGATTTGACTAACTGGTTTTTAATAGCATACTTATTTAGACACAGTCACTACCAGTGACGAAGAAAACTTCCCAGAAGTTAATTTAGAACAATTTGGTATTTATAAAAGTAAATCTCCTCTAGTGAAAAAAAAAAAAGAGACAGCAGATTTGGTGTTTATTTTTGCTTTTCTAATCGAAGAATTTTCTTCTAGGAGAGCTGTCATTTATGCTTTACTTTGACAATAAATACTTCAGGAATATCTTTTGGCTAAGTTAAGTATTATATTTTTTACTGTCTCTTTCAAGTTGGTGTATTATATTCAAGTTGGCATTTATATCTAACTTGGTTTGTAAATTAAAATTTCAATTTTTTCATATTGTTACTCAAATAAAGCGCCACATGCATATGACAATCATATGAAATTAACCAAATATATTTTAATTATAATAGTCAAAAATTTAAGTGGGAATATCACTGATGATTATTTGGTATTAGTGTATATACACAATATACCTAAACTTATTCCACATAAAACAAAGAAAAACAATAATAGTAACACAAATACTTAAATTTCTCAGTCATAAATCAAACAAAGTTATAAATAGAAAATCCTTTTATTTTCCTATAAATTAACATCTTGACATTTTTATTAAGGAAAATTAAGTATTGTCACCTACACACATTAGTTATGATCTTTTCTATCTAATCAACTTCAAAAAACATTCTAAGCTCTTTTAAATTTTGATTGGATTAAGATTCTTATTCATCACTATGATTCACACAGAGGTTGAAATTTTATAACATTTACCAAATTCTCAAGAGACATATTGTTTATTTCAGAAAAAAAGCATACTTATCAATTAAATAAGTATTGTGTTCTTTTTTAAAATAAGGTTAAAATTTTTGAGCAACAGTGAGGTTATTTTTCAAATAGCCTTAAAACATTTTCAAGGAAGAACTAATAAAATATGCAAATACCCTACAGTGTCAAAGTGTGAACACGTTAGTGTGTGTAGTGTGTGTGTGTGCATGTGCACATGTGAATGTGTTAGTATAAATTACCTCTGCCACTATTACAAATGAAACAATTCTTTATTACAAGAATTTAATATTTCACAATTATATCATCTCATAATGATTCATAGATGTGTTTCATGTTTGAAAACCAGTATGACTTTTAATATGGGCGTGGTATTGGATATTGAAACCACGGATGCTTTAGCACTGAACCACATCCCAGCCCTTTATATATTTTTTGTTTTGTCTTGTTTTGAGACAGGGTCTTACTGAGTTGCTGAGGCTGGCCTCCAACTTGTGATATTCCTGACTCAGCTTCCTGAGTCACTAGGATTGTGTGTGTGAGCCACCATGCCTGAATGACTTAACTTTTTGAAGAAAAAATATTTTTATATATGGAAACCGTAACAATATTATAAGCAGTCTGGTTTAGTTGCAAGTTATATAGACATTGCCTTTTCTAGTTTGACAACTTATGTCACAGATTTTAGGTATCTGCCATTGTATCTACCATTTGAACCAGAGCTCCTTTGTCTTCCTTCCTTCTTTCCTTCTTTACCTCCTACCTCTTTCCCTTTCTGCCTTTGGTTGTACTGGAGATTGGAATCAGGGACACTCTACCCCTGACCTACATCCTTTGGTCTTATTTCTTTACTTTTTATATTGAGACAGGGTCTCAAATTTTCCATGTTCCAAACTGAGATTTCTTCTATGGGATTATAGATGTGCACCACTGGGCTCAGCTCCTTTTGTCTTTAGAATTTTAGCCTGTGTAAGGTTGACAGCGGTAAGGTCTTACTGGGAGCTAAACATCCCAATCTGGTCTTCCCTTTGTTAATAAAGTAGAGAACTCTCACCTTATGACACATAACAACCATGAACACAGCTTGATTGGATCCATATCATGTATAATTCACACTATATCAATTATCTTTTTTAAAAAATACTTTTAGTTGTTAATGGACCTTTATGTTATTCACTTATATGTGGTGCTGAGAATCAAACCCAATGTCTCACACAACCTAGGCAAGTGCTCCACCACGAGCCACAACCCCAGCCCCTACTTCAACTTTCTCATTTTCAACCTAAGCAGTGACAATGTTAACAACTGCTCAAAGGAAAAGTAGTTTCTTAGTAGTGATATTGCGTTTTCAAGCAGCTGTCTTCTTAACCAGTCCAGCAGTCTAGTTCTTCTCTTCTTTTTTCTCTTATCTGTACTTCTGGGCAAGCTTAAATATTTGAATAGCTATTTGATGGTTCAAGGACTTGGTGAATTGATTAATGAAGGAAAGCATTCTCAAGTCTTTATACCAGATAGCCTTTTACTGCTTCAAATAGCTGTTGCATGGCCATTTTACAACGTGGATGAGATTGTCTTGTCCAGTGCAAAAAGTCTTAGGCTTTTTCTTAAATAAGGTATTTATCCATTTCTTCTCTTTCTACTTCTTTTCTACTGCAGGAGCTAAGTCCATCTTCTTCCCTTGACCTTCTATCCTTTTGGCATGGTGGATTGGCAAGAGAGAGATGCTTTTTTATGAAGATACATTATATTGGCATTTAGCTTTTATTTTATGACTTTCTTAAGCATACATTCAGCAAGTATTTATTTTTGCTAAGTATTGTAATGATGCTGCAGTGTGAGGTAAGCAAAATGAGTAAGGAAAATGTTCAATATTGTCAATCTTCCACCTAAATTTAGTCATCTTATACATCATTTCATTTTGATTGACTCATAGAAAAAAATTTGCCATACTTTTGAAAAATATCAAATTTGCTATGCATGGTAGATAAAATTCTTTAGAGTTTGATGTCCAATCATTAAAATAATTTTTAGAGGCATGAAGCACAAAAGGCCAAAAAGTTAATGAAATCTTTCACCATTAATTTCACAATTTGGTGTGCAGATTTCTTGTGTTACAAGTTAACCAATCTCAGAATAAAAGCAAACAAAACTAAAGAAAAAATGTATTTTCATTTGAGGTTTTGAATAGTTCTTACAAATACACAATGTGTTTACATATTTCAAGTTGTAGTTTTAAACTTATATAAGAGTCTTTACAGAAAAATGATGTGCTTTTATTTCCTTGAAACCTTGCTTCAACTGTCTAAATAGCTATTGACCTTTAAGTGACTATTTCTCAAGAGAAGTCATATAATTCCAAAGGTTAACTTTACTTTTGTCATGTACCTCCCCCACTTTACCTGTAAAATTCTGTGTAATACCTAATAGGTTTATGGTTTAAAAATCTCATCTCTCAACAATGTTTATTAAATTCCTTCTTGGTGCAAATTCCCCAAGTAAGTGTTTCGAAGGAAGAGGTACTTAAAATACTTTTGTAGTAGCAGTTATCTAATTCTAATAAAATTTTATTATGTTATAATAAAATATATATAACATCATAGTAGTGTTTTCTTATTACATAGATTTTAATATACTGAATGACATAGGAGACTTTTATATCTGAAAAGTCTGTTATGAAAACACTTTGCCTGAACTTTAGAGGTTCCCCTCAAATTATTATTATTTTTTCTTTTTTATGGAATACTTCATGAATTTGCATGTCATCCTTGTGCAGGGGACATGCTTATCTTCTCTGTATCATTTCAATTTTACTATATATGTTGCTGAAGTGAGCACTTTTTTTTGTTTCGTTTTTTTGCAACTGGATATTGCCATACAAAATAGGGTCACTTCTCTGGAAGCTCTTGAAGACTACTTGCCCAATAGCTTCCATATTTACATAAAAGGAACATGAATTTTAGAGAAAATAGGACACTTTGATAATCACTCTTTTAAAATCATGACAACCTGAAGTTACAGTACTTTTTTATTTCTAGGAAAATTGGATAGCAGTATGTTGATGTTTGGAGGAGAGTGTATGTCATAGTAATTTATATAACCAGGTGATGTAAGAGAATGTAAGTCACACTAAGTAAACAGAATTGATTGAACTAAATTACAAAAAAAGTGCAACTCATACTGAAATTCCCATCAGTTTCTGTCTAGCATCTCCTTTATTTAACAATAATGGGCCAAGTTCATCCTGAGGACAGGTAAGCATTTAGGAGCAATAGTATTGTATTTTGTTTTGTTTCATAGGATTTGCTCATGATTTATCTAATTTGTGCTAATGATCAAAATCGGAAGTCTTTGCATGTAATGATTTTTTTTTCACTGTGGAATTTTAGAGTTTTAATACTGTTCACTGTGAACTTCTATAATAATTCACTAGTGGAAAATGCTCTACAACAATTCATCATGAGTTATCCCAGGATACCTAGTTAGTCTTCAGGCAATGGATAGTTCATGTGGAGGAAATAGCATGCTGATTTGCAGTTATAATTGAAGAAAATTACTTGAGAGGATTCTGACAGCACAGAAAATAGGCCAATTAGTTACCCAACTCTCATCCTCCTGTGATTCATGATTGTCTCCATTTAATTTTGCTGTCATTTATGAAGTGAGGTTAAGAATAGATTAGCTTCTTTTAGCCACATCTTACAATTAGCTCACTCCTTTGCTACTGCTTCCTTTTTTAACAGTATGATTAAGTTTAAAAACCAGTGGTCCTCAAAACTTTATTTAACAGTTATTCATCATAAAGCACTAGCTAATGTTTAAAACCACCTCAGTACCATGACTTAACAATCAGTCATGCTCAGAGTGGGGGTTCCCCCCCACCAAAGAGTCATCAAATGCTACTTTATAATAATTAAAATCAAACCCAAGGAAACATAATAAGCTTTGGCCAAGAAAATACATATGAATGTCTTTAATTTTATAAAATGATAAGTTAATTAAATGAGATTAAGGCAAAATATAAGCATAGTACAAAAAATCCACCTATAATGTGAATTCTAGGAAATTAAAATTTTCCTTCATGCCTCTGTTTCTTTCAATTATGTCAAAATATTACTTGTGCTTCATTTGAGCAGAGAAATAAAAATGATGAAAATAAGAACATTCTGGTTAATGCAGACACCAAAAGTTCATCATAATTTTTCACATTTTTATATAGTTTGGCTAAGAAACTTTGAATTTGAATTCTGTTTGTGTGTATGCACGTGTGTGCATGCCCTGTCTCTACAACAAATACACACTCCTGAAAGATCTTTTCCACTCAAAGCACCTACTTTATCTCTCACAGTAGGAACTAAGTATATTTATGTGAGAATAAGGAATTACCACAGGAACTTGATTGACCTGTGCTAAATTGTTCTATTTTATGTACAATGCTATTTTTATCTGTCTAATTGAGTCAAGGTTTGTCTAGTGTGGATTATTTAGTTAGGTCCCTCAAAATACTTCACTAGGGGCTATAGTACACTATAACTTTTATTTTTCATGAAAATACTTTCAACATCTGTCCATTCATCCAATTCATCTTCCATCTATAATCTATTTATATGATTTATGTGATTTCAAATTAATTTGTTTTGAATATTTTGAAATATTCCAGGACAAATATGGGTTAAAAACCAAGGTCAGGGATCTTTGATTTATACTTTAATTACCTGTTTAATTGGTGTGATTATTTGTGCAATTATTTGAATTTTCTGGGCCAGTAATTATGAAATAAGAGGGAATTATCAAATTATAATTGTATTTTCAGTTGTGTATAGAAATCCAGGTATACTCAGGCCAAGTATGAACACATGTATATATTTAAATTGAAATATCATTTAATTCATAGATGTCCCTCTTGAAAATCTCTAAAATGAAAGGTGCTTGTTATTTGGGGAATCTATTTTTTCTTGAATTTCAAAGTACTTGTGTGAGATTTCATCCACATTTCTGTGGATTGATAAAGTGTTTGATTATAACTGAAGTCATGTGAACGGCTTCTAAAATGTCCATTTATGTTCCATTTATTCAAGCTAGAAAGAAAACCAACCCATGTCAACATTATCTTGCTTCTCAAGCTTCTAATTGTTTCTTGTAAAACATAGAACATAATACTGAGGACTGAAACAGTTCAGAGAAAAACATTTTAAATACCATCTGTAAACTTTTGTTTGAATTTTAACATTCTACAGGAAGACAGCATAAAAATTTGAACAGAAGTTCCCTATAAAAAGAGAAACCAATTATGCATCTTTATCAATTTCACTTTTCATCTCCCTCAATTATAAAAACACATTATGGAACAGATTACTCAACAAGCCAAAGAAACAAATTGAAGTGCAGTTAAATTGAAAACATCTTTAAAACATCTTCTTGTAACTTATCTTGAACAATTTCAAAGAAAATACTTAACAATATAACTTAGGTATATTTTGTATTTTCTAAAAACAATGGCTTGGTTTAAGGAAGGTTATAATTTATACAAGGGACAGAAGATGCTTTGATTTATTTTCAGGATGGTCATATAAATATTTATTTCCTTTTTATTATATCAATATCCATTTGTGACATGGTTATTCCAGAGTTAAGTACATAGTATATAGAGAAATAGTAGAGTTCTTTAAGTTAATCAACAGAATTACATGATTAAATAAATTGCCCTATCCTTAGGAAAATATAGTAATGTTGAGAAATCAATATTTGTATCAGCAGCTAATCAGAAGAAAAATTTGTGGATTGAAGTTGTGAAGTTATTTATGTTTTACATATAAACTGAAATAAAGTGAGAGATGTAAGTGTAAAAATTAAATTTGTCAGGAAAATAAATTGAGTAGGATTAAATTGGAAGGAAAAATTTCAGTAATGATTCTTTTAAGTTGTGTGTGTGTGTGTGTGTGTGTGTTTCTCTAGGGATAGAACCCAGGACCTTGTGCACGAGAGGCAAGCATGCTACCAACTGAGCCATATCCCCAACCATCAGTAATGATTCTCTATATAAGTTATATGTTGAAATTTTGATGGTAGTATTTATCAACTGCATGTAGTCCTGTTCCCAATCAGTTATTTTCAAAAAGTTTAAAAAGGAGTGATTTACTTTGCAGACCATTTTGAATCATTATGATACAAAATCTGGAAGGTAAAATATACGATCAAACTAATTATTTGACAAGTTTTAAACTAAAAGATGACAATAAATTTAACTAATAGTATTTCTTTAAAATATTTATTGCCCTATGGGTTATTTTGATTTTACTGATGGATCTATAAAATAATTTTCAAAAATAATTTTTCTACAAAACAACATCTATTTAAATTAAGGGAAATATTTTATTCATGTAAATTATGTAAAGATTAAACCTGAAATAAGCATAGAAATTATTATTGGTTCATAGTTATATTCTTAAGTCAGCATCTTAGTTCTATCTCTCTTTAATGCCATACTAGTGGTATTTTCCTGAATGTGTTTATATAGGGTTTTATTTTTAGCCATAACATTTCCTTCAAACTCCTTCACAGTTACATTATTAGGTTAACAAATCTGGGATATTTAACATAGTAAATTTACTTCTTTGTAAACCACAATATGATTATCTAAGAAAATATTTCTACAGCTGTGAGATACTTTTTGAGCTTGGAACAAAAGCTTTTACTGATATTGTCAATTTGAATTTTATTTTCATTTTCATATTTTTAAATGTATTAATATTATGACAAAATATTTTCTCAAGAAGCATGTCATCCTCCTCTCAATCTCATTGAGTTTCACTCCATTATAAGTCACACTCACACATTCAACATAATCCTTTCTGCATCTTGGTACTCTACTCACAGTAGTTGAAGTTCAAAAATTTTTTTTGTGTGCGTGTGTGTTCACGTGCGTATGCACTCACAGTATATGTTGAAATTCTTAAATGATTTTTTTTTATTGTTGGTCGTTCATAACATTACATAGTTCTTAATACATCATATTTCACAGTTTGATTCAAGTGGGTTATGAACTCCCAATTTTACCCCGTATACAGATTGCTGTATCACATCAGTTACCCTTCCATTTATTGAAATAATGCCTTTCTAGTGTCTGAT